AGAGAGAGAGAGAGAGAGAGAGAGAGAGAGAGAGAGAGAGAGAGAGAGAGGGAGAGAGACCACAGTTGATTAGTTAGATGTATATGAATTGTTAAGACTCGTGATGAGTCGGTGAATCCCTGATGATACAGTTCCCCCTGTTTCTTGTCCTTTTCTCCCTTTCAGCCTTTGGTTCACCGGGCAGAAAGGGGAGGTGGGGAGATGAAGCCCGTTGAAATTCAATGGGCACAGCAACTGGCAAATTACACTCTGTAGTAATGCTAGTGGGCGGGGTTCTCCTGAAGGCTGTGAGGGACGGGACATGAGATTCAATGCAGAATATCAGCCAAAAAAACAAAGATTTGTCACCGTCTACGTTTTTCTCTTCTATGCTCGTCAAAGTTAAGACGGGTCTTGCCTGACGCTCCCACGTGGGACCTCCCCGTCAGTGTTGGGAAAAAGGGCATGGGTCCTGTGTGGGCCCAACAAAAAAGAAGAGCAAAAAAAGAACACCGCACGGGGGTAGGGCGCCTGTTTGAATGGAGAGGTGGTCGGTGACCCCAGGAACTGTCGAAATACAGACAGATGTTCATAAAAGTTAAGACGGGTCTCGCTTCACGCTCTCATGCAAGACCTTGCTGTCGGTGTTGGGAAAAGGGCACCGGTCCTGTGTGGGCCCAGCCAAAAAGCAGAGCAAAAAAAAAAAAATGCCGTGCGCGGTTTGGAGGGTCGTTTGTACCATCCAAGCCACTGAATATCACCAGGTTCTCATGAGTTTTTTTTTTTTTTTTTGGGGGGGGGAAGGGGKGGGGGGTCGTTTGTACCACCCAACCGACTGAATTGTACCTCCACCCAACCTTGTGCTATCCGATCCACATACTATGACCCTTACTGTGTGGTACTGCCCAACCCCCACATATTACCCCCGGCCCAGATCGTATGACGTGCCCTGCATAATGCTACCTCACCCACTTAGTATACACCCCCCCGCCCCCGCCCCCCCCACGATTTTTGCTTCCTCCATCCCTTGCTGGATGTGTGTCTGCGACCTGGCCTGAGTGGTGGAGCAACGGGGGTGTGCAGCGGGCGTAGCCCCGGTGGGCATCCGCTTGTTCTTTTGATGGGGAAATGCCCCTGGTATTATTAAATCCATCAGGATTTGAACTGCTGCCTCTGAAGAGGGCTGCTTGTGCACATTGTCCTGGCAATGCTTGCAGCAAGGTGTGCTATAGACAAGCATCATCACCAATAGGCGACGAGACATCTTTTCTTTCTTGCATTAGAAATTTTCTGGTATTGCATTTTGAGTCTTAGGCTATACTCCTATTCCACTCTTTGCTCTGCACTTCCTCCCCTTCTGCAGCGCCTTCAGTCTTTATCCGGCTTCCCAACAGTGCCTCCTGCATTTTGAATTGCTGAGCCCCTTGAAATACCATCCCCCAGCTCCTCCCGTTTCTACCCCTCCTTTTGGCATATTTCCTGCGTCCTTCTTTCCACTGCCTTCTTTCTTTTTGATCTCTCTCATACGTTTGACCACCTTTTTTTCGCGTGTGTGTCATCCTTGCGCAGGGGCCATGCTAATCTTCTCTGTATATGCGCTTGACCTTCTTTGCCTCGGCACTTGTCATTTTTCCCTTGCCAACCTTCTGCACCCTCCTTCATCACTTGTCAGTGGTCCTCGTCATTGTTGCCCGCTTCTGCTGCCATATCCTCTGCTGTCTCATTCAGCACGCTCTTCACTAATGGTGCAAGGAATATGAACGTGAGCGATATACATAAAACCAAATTGCGAAATCACACAGCTGTCCAAGTAGTCGTGTTCCAAGCAGAGAGTACAAATGCACCGAGAAAACCATCCATATAGAGCAACACAATGAAGTAATGAGCCAATTTTCAAGCCCGTAGGCCACACCAACACAGTATCCAAAGTCGCTCTGCTCTGTCTGGCACTCGGCGCCCAGCCTACTCTGCCCGACTATCCTACCTACAGCTGGTGCACGCAACAGGATCACTGCTACTCACGAAGACCAATGTACATGACTGCCAACACCATCGCCGACCTCTCTTCATGTACCAGGTACGTATCTCGTCACCCTCAATCAGACCTTGATTACCCCACACTCGCCTCCTTCCCTGAAGACCACTCAATCGCCCGCATTACCCCCTGGCGCCCAGCAGCCCGGCTATGGCCGCCTGCGCCCCACTTCACCTCTACGCGCCCCGTCAGCGCCCTTGGCAGCAGTGCAGCATCAAGCGAGAGCGCAGCAGCACTTCCGCATTGCCAGCACTGGCCAGAATGCCTGGCCTGGGCTCCCTCACTCCTTTTGTGGAAGTGGCAGCCTCCTGGATGCTGCGTGTGGCCTGGCTGGAAGCCTCCAGTAGCTTCCGGTTGGGTCCCAGACCCTGCGCCCAGGCCCGAGACTACAGTTGAGGGCCTGGGCCCTTTACATTTAGGCACGGCCTGAGTCTCTGGACTTGGGCTGTTTGCTGCATCTGTGCAGGGCTCCCAGGCAGGTGTGTCGGCACTACTGCTTTTGCCAAGGCCGAAGGCCTGCTTCCCAATGTATCGGCCCTGCTTTGTGTATGTGTGCTCAGGCGCAACTGTCAAGGCCTGGGCCAACTGTATGACGCAGAGATGTGAGGCTCACGCGTCTACCCAACCAACTGGCGTGCTGCGAGAGCCTGAATACCCACATATGGAAATGTTGAATTTTGCCTCTGACGAATATTCAGGCCCGCCTTCACTTAGGGCGGGCACTTTGGCTTGCTGGGGGCCTTAGCCCAGAACAATGTGATGTCTGATAGGGCCCCTTGAGGGCTTGTTCCTCACAATGGTTAATAGGTGGTATCATTTTCGGCGAATTTTTGCTTGTGGCGAACTCTGAAAGCGGGCCACTCTGGTAGCCTAGTTTATAGCCTAATAATAGGTGGTGTCATTTTCGGCAAATTTTTCACTGAAACTGCCATATTTCCCTGATTTTTTGCTTTTTTTTAAAAAGAAATTCTTGTTTTCTTTGTTGGGTGATATGTATGTGCTTTAGGGCAGGGTTGCATAGCTGCCGACCGCGACCCCGACCGCCGACCAGTCAGAAAACAGCCATCCACTGATTTTTTTTCAAATCTGACTTGGGGGCTGTAGTGCACTTGCTGA